GCGCGCGGCGCCCCTGCTATGCGGCACTGGCCGGGCCGCGGCGCTCCTCCGCCCGGTGCCCCTCCGCCCCGCGTCCCGGCGGCGCGCGGCATCTACTCACGTCCCGGACGCAGACGTCGCTCTCAGCCCCCTCGGTTTCGGACCGAGAAAAGGGGAAAGCCGCCAAGGGACCTGACCCTGAGGTGTGGGGGGCGACGGGCGCGCAAGGTAGCCTGGAAGCCACTGGAAGAGGAGTGACTGGGAAGCATCTGAATGGACGCAGGGTCGACTGGGACCTGGGAAGGCGCCCCGGGCGGGTGCTTAGAGCCGGGCTGTGGACTTGGGTGTCTTGGGATTCCGGTCGGGGCCCGCACTTCAGAGTTCAGTGACTTCCGGGAAGTTACTCAAACCCTCTGGGCCTGTTTCCTCATCTCTAAAATGGCAACTGTAACCGAGCCGACTGCATAGGCTCCTTAGGAGGTTTGGGTGGGGGAGCTTTGGGAATTCTCTCACCAGATCCTGGCCTGTGGCATTTACCGGATGGAGGGTGTCTGAGACAAGTCAGGAAGAAAATGCAGTTGGAGGTGGGGAGACTGGCCCAGGTGAGGTAGGGCTGCACCTCCAAAACGGAGAAATGAGGGTGCAGAGAGCCCACACTTCATGGACGCTGAATGTCAGGGCCAGAGTGAAACTATAGCTCACAGTGCTGGGCTGATGGAAGCTAAGCCCCTCACCTGAATGATCTCCTCTAATCCTCACAATCCTCACCCTGCGAAGTAGGCCTGGGAACATTTTGTAAACAAGGGACTGGGGCTCAGAGAGGTCAAGTCACCTTGCACAGATCAACAGAGCTCCTAAGGGCCAACAGCAGAGCCTAATTTTGTTGTAGGTTCTTGACCAACTCCAGGTACCTAAGGGGGTCTGTTGAAGTGATCAAGCAATAATCATGGAGTGCTCTGATGTACCGCACTTCTGAGAAATGAGAGAAAGTAGGAGTCAGGGCCCCTGCCTGCAAAGTGCCTGTGTGTTGTTGGTGGAGAGTGAGTCAGACACCCATCAGCATTTGTTGAACACTTGCAAGCAGGCCAGGACCCTGTCCTTTCCTGGTGTTTTGCTTCCATCCACCTCTCCCCACACACCCCTCCTTTTATTCTCACAACAACCCCCTGAGGCAGGTCTTGTCCCACTTTTGCAATGAAGAACCTGGCGTTGAGGAGGACCAGGGGTTGGGGAATCAGATCCTGAGAGGTCCCCTATGCTTTCCTCTCACTCCTTGGGCCTCAGTTTCACACTAGTTTTCAGTAACAGTTCAACATGGTAGAAAGGCAGTGTGGAATCCGCGACCAAGTCCTGCTTATGAGCGGAAATTGCTTTTTATGTCACATAAATGCAGAGAAGGGGAAGACAGTTCAGGTCCTTGGGGTGGCAGGATGTAGAGCTGCAGAGCTTTAGAATTGTTAGGGTGGCTCCAGTACTCAGCTGGTTAGGAGAGCTGAGTTAAGGAGACAGAAAGGAGACTGATTCAGGTGTGAATTTATAAGGACTTGCACTATGGGCAGTAGTGGGAACTAGTAAAATAAAATTATTCTCAGAAAACCTCAAAACAAGGCTTATAGAGCAGCCTGAAGTGGTAGCTTCACAATATGGACCCGGAAGCCAGAGCTCATGAATCACAGAGCTATCATACTTGTACTTACTAGCTCTGTGTCCTAAGGCAAGTCATTCTACTTCTCCAAGCTTCATTCTCCCCTCTGTAAAACAACAATAATACCTACCTCATAGAGTTATTATGATAATAAAATTATTCCAGTGTCTAGTATATTATAGGAACTAAATGTGTAACCATGGAAAATCTGATTTTCCATTAAATGTAATCCTAAAGATAACTACTAAAGAAACTTTCCTCCACTTGAATAGACTCTTTAGAAGCCCATGAAAAGAACCCTAAACTGTGTTCTCAGTATCATAATTTGATTTGTATTTTAATATTGTGTTCCCTTGCTTGAGGATAGTCACCAAAATTATACACATTGCAGGCTCTATGAAAACTGTACTCTGCCCCTGACAGAGACTTTTGTGCTGTAAAAAGACTTTCGTACTAGAAAATCTGGTCCCATAACTGTTGAATTGTGAGAAAAGTCATGGTATTTTTCTGTTTTTCTTTTCTTTTTTTAAGAGGTTTTTGCCTTAGGGCATGGGGCAGAGGGGTAGACAGAGACAGTGAGAGGGAAAGTGAGACATCACCCCCCAGTGGGGTCGGCCATGCTGCAGTCCCTTCTCCATTCTTCTCTCAGGATCTTGGGCGTGCACACACAGCTGGCATGAGTTTTTTTCTCTCTGTCTCTTTTTTTTAAGAGTTGAGAACTTTTTTTTTTAAAATAATTTTAACTACACTTATTATTATTTATTATTATTATTATTGTGACCAGAAAGAAAGAGAAGGAAAGTGAGAAAGCAAGCTACCAGGTCCGAGACTCAAACCACTGTCAGCCTTGTGGGAGTCCAGCACCTTAATTTAACCACCACACCACCACCTGGCCCCCCAGCTTGATTTTCAAGCCACTGTGTCTGGGACTCTTGACCATGTGGGAGTCCAGCAATATAACTACTATGCCATCTGCTGGTCCCTCTGTGTTTTTCTGTACAAAAATGTGACATGACTTTACTGACAACCTTAATATGTTGTGTTAACCCTGGGCAGTTAATTTACTGAATTCTTCTGGGCTTGTTTTCTCATCATGTAAATTGTAGATAAAACCCGAGCTATTGTGTTAATCAAATGAGATAGGATATGCAAAAGTGATCGGTAAAACATATAGAGTGCCCTACAACGGTTTATGAATTCATATAATTTGCCTATAAAATTGCATAACAGAAAGTTCAGAAGCAACTCCAAGGTTCTTAGCTAGAAAAGCAGAAACAGAGTGGATGAGCTGGAGCTAATGGTGAAATGTTAGGGGTAAAATTCTTGCTCTTCTGCCAGGTTTTCTTCATGACTTAAGCCATGAGACATTCAAGAAATAAAGTGGGAAATGCTGGATCAAGAATTTAGAACTGAAAGGTTAGAGATCATCCAGCATATCCTTCACATTTTACAGAAATGGAAATTAAGGCCTCAAAAAACTAAAAGACCTAAGGCTACCCATATAATGAATGGCATGGTCACAAAAAACCAAATTCCTAAGCTCCAGGTTCTCTCACTGTACCAAGTGCATATTTTGAGATAAATGCATTTTATAGTGGAGGTCTTTCAAAATCATTACATCAGGGCCAGCAGGTGGTGCAGTGGGTAGGGTGCTAGATTACCACATGGCTGACCGTGGTTCAAGACCCAGACCTGGAGGCTTGAAAAATCACAACGAATAAATAGATAAATAATAAATAAATGTTTTTTTAAAAAATCATTACATCAAAACCAGAGAAGGCATAGTGCTGTCTAGTGACTTTTAGCACAAAATTCCCAAGATTTGCATTTCTGTTTTAAAGGCTGATAGATTGGATGGTGCCATGGTCATCTGCCTCAAGAAGTGCTGTTGCTTGCAAGCTTGTTTGTTAAGTGACAGAAAGTTCTGAAGATGTCCAAGGTAAGTGTTATAACTTTAAAAATCAGAAATAGGAACCAGCAGTTAGTGTAATGGCTATGTTGCTGGACTCCCACGTAGTCGACCGCGGTTTGCATCCCGGACACGGTGGCTTAAAACTCACGCTGGGTGCGTGTGCATGCGTGCCCAAGATCCCGAGAGGAGAATGGAGGAGAAGGGATTGTGGCGTGACCATCCCCTCTGGGGGGTGATTTCTCACTTTTTGTCTCTATGTCTCTCTGTCTGTCTGGTGAGTGCACGCACCCTATAGCGAAAACCTCTCAAAAAAAAAAAAAGGATAAAAATCAGAAATGAGATAAGAAATCAGGACCAGCAGTTGATATAATGGCTATGTCACTGGACTCTCATTTAGTCGACTGAGGTTTGAGTCCCAGACCTGGTGGCTTAAACTCATGTTGGGTGCGTGTGCGTGCATGCCCAAGATCCTGAGAGGAGAAGAGAGGAAAAGGGATTGTGGTGTGACCATCCCCCCTGGGGGGGTGAGTTCTTGCTTTCTGTCTCTCTCTCTCTGTCTGGTGAGCACAAACACCCTATAGCAAAAACCTCTCCAAAAAAAGAAAAGAAATGGGGTGAGAAATCAAATAAAAAATTTGAAAATTGTAACAGTATAGGCACCATTCAAGCTGAGTACATTGTTCAACTATCTGAAAGAAGAAAAATAAAATTATAATGTATTTTCTCTGGAATTTACCCACTTCATTCGCATTCTCTCAATTATCCTATCATTTTTGTGATGTAGGACATAGGTGGATGCTGTTATCCTCATAATACAGAAAAGGATTCTTTTTTAACACAGTATTTGTGCTGACTCTGTAGTACAGTGACTGAAGGAGCCAGATCCCACATGGCCAACCACAATTTGAATCTCAGCCCCAGAAGCTTGAAACACTCTGTGCTCCAGTGCCCAAAATCCCGACATGCTGGAGACAAGGAGAAGGAATTGTGACATGACCACACGCTACTGAAAGGTGCTTTCTTTCTCTCCCTTTCTCTTTCTATCTCTCTATGGTAAGCACACTTGCTCTCTGGCAGTAAAAATAAATAAATAAATAAATAAATGTTTAATTAAAAAAACTGTAATTTTAAGTCAATTAAGACTACTTCCAGGTCAGGACTAGGAGATGGCATAATGTTTATGTCACTGGACTCTCATATAGTCAACTGTGGTTTGAGCCCCCGACTCAGTGGCTTAAAACTCATACCAGGCACATGTGTGTGCATGCCCAAAATCCCAAGAGGAGAATGGAGAAGGGGTTGTGGCATGGCCATCCCTCCTGGGAGAATGATTCCTCACTTTCTGTCTCTCTGGTGAGCACAGGTGCCTCATAGCAAAAATCTCTCTTAAAAAAGGAATATTCCTAGGTCAAGCAGTGGCATGGTGTTTAATGCAGCTGGGCAACTATTTTGTTTGAGTCCAGTGACTTAAACAACATACCAGGTTGGAGTCAGGAGGTGGCATGGTTAAGGTGCTGGACTCCCACGTGGCCAACTGTGATATGAGTCCCAGACCCAGGGGCTTGAAACTCTTGTTGGACCTGTGTGTGTGCATGCCCAAAATCCCAAGAGGAGAAGGAATTATGGCATGGCTATCCCTCTTAGGGAGTGATTTCTTGCTTTCTGTCTCTGTCTCTCTACTGAGCACATGTGCCCTATATCCAAAAATCCCCAAAATAAAAACACACACACTAGGTAGGTGTTCATGTGTGCCCAAAATCCTGAG